TTAAATGAAATTAATTCAAGACATGAACATGAACAACAATATAATATAATGAAAATAAATCGAATGAATGAACTTTTACAGGGGAACAATAATGATCAGACAACTTTACAGCAACCACGAACACCGATAACAACATCATCATCATCGTCAACAGTAATGACAGAGAATGCAAATAAATTTATACAATTGACCAATAACATTACTCCTACTACTACTACTAGTGGTGTTAGTATTAGTAATGATAGTAGTGATAATATGACAAGTGAAAGAAATCACTTTATACAAAATCAATTAAACACGCAATTCTATCATGAATTAAATGAAACACAAGAAACATTTTTAGAAACATTACACGCAAACCAAATAGAACAGCCAAAAGAATTAACTAAAAATAGAATCTTTCTTAATAAAGATAATTCTGATTTATGTGTTAGAACAATGAATAAAAGACCGAATAGTATTACTGCAATTGTTCAATCAATATCAACAACAACATCAACATCAGTATCGTCGTTGAGTAGTTCAAAATCTGAATTGAATGAAAGATCTAATTCTGTATTAAGTGAAATAAATTTCTCACAAATGATTATGACTGATGAAAAATATCAAAGTAATAAACAGAAGCAGTCAGACCAACAACAACAACATCGTCATCATAATCATGAGGAGCAACTGCAGCAGCAGCAACAACAACAACGCAGTCGTACTTCATTCTCTAATCTTCAATTAGAAGAACTTGAAAGAGGTGAGTTACTCACTTGCAAAGAAATGATCAGGTTGTCCGATAGAGAAATATCGTAGTGTTTTTTGTTAAAAAAGTGTTTTGAACCGACCCTAGATAATGGAAGATCAAAATAACTGTTAGTATGTTACTTTCTATTTTATTAGTTTCATAGAAGAGTTGGATAGGGATATGGAGAATTGAATATATATATATATATATATATATATATATATATATAGGGTCGATTCAAAACACTTATATATATATATACGTAAATATAATCTATCTAAGCTTCTAAATCGTAAAAGTAGGATACGCGCGGATTCGAAGTTCACAAAACAGCGATTTGTCTAAGAAAGAGGTCCTTTAATGAGTAGTACACATAAATTAGCTACAAACCTCAACTTGTGAGGTACCTGCAGCGCCATGAGCGTCTGTAAGTCTGAAATAAAGAAGGATTCCTGCAGTAATAACATAAAGAATTGTCAAAAAATACGGTAGTGAAAATGACAGCTAATAGCTGTGTCTAATCCTAATAACAGTTTATCAACAAGCAAAAACGGAACCAAGAGCACACAATATGGAAAACTTTGCATTTAAACAAGAATTGAACGGACATACAAAATTGCAAATAAATGCTATAAGGGTTAAGAGAAAATGATTATAACGATAAATACAATAAATTATATAAGTAAATGTAGTTACTTGAGAATATTACACGATAAACTTACATCACAACATACGCCCAGAAAATGCTAGGAATTCTACTGTTTACTGAATATTTATATGTAGTATAAACCAATACACAAGAGAGTTGAAGGAAAGTGAATCAAGACGGAGAAAGTAAAACCAACTTAACTATATATATTAATGATTTATAATTAGTTATCATTATGGTCCTAGTTTGTCCATTGGTTCTGTAGTTGAATTTGCGGGGAGGTTTGTCTCAAAACTCGTTAGTGGCCCTGATACACTAGGCTACTCGATATGACCCTGAAACTGCTAATGACTGAGTTCGATGTGTGACTGATTGACCTCGCCAGCAGGGAACTACCCTAATCACCAATTGACGATCTGTTAGATGGACGCTGATTAGTTGGAGTTCAGAATTATGTTACTATTAAGCTCACGATCAAATCCAGATCATTTGAGGATAGAATAAAATATGGTGATAGTTTATAAATCAGACGAAAGCTTGATATTAGGAGAATAGAGGAAATGGAAAACTCATCTGTTTATAATTACATGTAAAAAAAGTAATGTCACCAAAAAGGTTGTCTAGTTTCTAACCTTTTATTTTTCTCTTTAAAACAGTTATCTAGACTGATTTTAGGTAACTTCTGAAATTTAGTAACACACACGAAAACAAACAAGATAATTAAAACTCCTAGATTATTCCTGTTCGTGTGAATATTTGAAAGGATAATTCGACAGAAATTGGACGCCCGATAGATAGGAGACATTATATGCAAAAATTGTATTTGGATTAGTTTCGGCAATTGTAATTTAAGTAATACTAATGTTTCATGTTATAAACTTGTTTGAACTTCCTATATTTTTTTGTAAGTTTGATTTTGATTATTGCCCAAAAAAGCTTGATGGGATAAACGCTAGAATTATTTTGCACGTCAATCCTTAAGTTTATTTCAAATATAATTCTTATTTCTGTTGAATTGTAAATTTACATATGAAATTTAATGCTATAATCACTAATAGTCTTGATTGATTTTTAGAATTTGAGCATACACATTATCCTGATGTGTTTTCTCGTGAAAAGTTATCCAGTCGAATCTTACTGCCTGAAACCCGTATACAAGTTTGGTTTTCTAATAGACGTGCAAAATGGAGACGGGAAGAAAAAATGCGAATGAAACAATTAGCTTCTAGAAATCAACAAAAATCAATTCTTCATCAGTACCATAGTAACGATAATAATAACAACAAGATCAATCCATTAATATCAAGTTTAACAATGACACCAACAATAAAATCTGTTGTAAACACTACCTTTGTCAATAATACTGATAACAGTCTAAAAGATAAAATCAATAACACTTCCAGAACCGTGGAAAGAAATAATTCAAATCGTTCAATTTATTCTGGAATTCCAAATAAAAGTAATGATAATAATATACATATGACAAATTGTATTGATAATGTATCTAATAAAAATATTGATTGTGGATCAACTGACCTACTCAGATTACAGGATGAACATAAAATTCCATCATCTAAAGTTCCTGTAAAAGTTAGTAAATTAAATGATTTCTTATCATTATCATCTACCAGGTATTCAACTACTGATTTATTGGTTAAAAAGAATATTGATGAAAGATATAATTCATCATAATCCTTTCTATCATAACATAGAAGAGAAACACTGGACTTATCTACCTCCACATCTACAAATTCAATCACAAAATAATTTGGATCAATCAACAATTGAACAACAAGCATGTTTGAGTAATATACAAAATATAACCAAGAATTTTGCTTAAATTTTAACATCTCGTCACTATTAAGAACAACAATAACAGAACTAACAAAGAAAAAAAAACATCTTCAGTATTTAGTTTTGATGAATGAGCAATATCGTCTTCAATATTCATACTAATTTGTTGTACAGTGATTTTAAAATATTTGCAAATATATCATTAATTTATTAGATTGTATGATAGGAACTTATTTCAACGATAGTAGGTAATGTTACTTCATTAATTAAGTGAAGAGATTTGTGATTGGGACATTGTGCACTAGCTCATCTAGTTTTCTGTAATTTATAAGCGCTAGTTATATAAATCATAGTAAATCTCCGGTTAGATATATTTGGTGAAAATAAAAGCGAAAATTGAATTCAATGACTTAGTTTTAAAGTGAAAAATTTCCAAATCCCTACATATTTAATTATATTCACTGGGATTTTACTATGAGAAACTGACGTACTTTAGTCAGGTAGGTAGTATATATCTATGTAATTTATTGAAAATATTAAATCCTCAGTAATGGCGGAAACCTGGTTATCTAGGAATGCAACATGAGGACTGATGTAACTGTAGGCAGTGTATTCAATTTTGATTGGCTTGAGACATTAAGAGGTTCATACCATGCATTGTTTCTATTTAATAATGGCTTGTATGACGAGCATATAATCTCTTTCTTCTGACGGACTACAAATTACACGTTTTCCCATCTATATTACTGACTTGTGAGAGTCAGCACAGCTACATACAATTCACTCATTTATATATTAAAACGGTTAAACTATAGTATACAATTAATTGAAAATTTTATAACTGAACTAATTACATATGACAATTGAATGCTAAATCTTAAGCGAGTCTATATATGGCTGGACGGAAATGATGTAAAATAACTGGTCAGCTTACTAAAAGACATTATTCAATCAGATGGAACTTACTAACCCATGTTTTAGACTTTTTTCCGGATCACATCCTAACGATCATGTGTTCAGAACTGATGAAGTGGTATGTTCCTTGAAATGCTCCGACATTCCTAGGGTTTCTTCGATCCACAAATTCAATATTTTCTGAATGTTATTTATAGTCACTGATAGAACCAGTTAGATATCATGTCACATGACAACTAATCCACTCTGTGAGAACGTTTACCTAAGATTTACGATTAACAGAAAATTAGACTGTAACCGAGATTAGGTTTCCCATTCGAAAGCAAATGAAAAATCTTTGGAAAGAAAGAAATTCTTTCATTAAGTTACCGAGTGTGTAAACACGAGAATCTCTGAGCGACGCAATTTTAACCACGAATAGCAAGCTGGTTCTACAATTTCATCAAGAAGCATAAATCATTAAATAAAACACCGGATCTGTTGGTGAACATATCTAGGTTAGGTAAACGTTGAAAACCAGGAAAACACTGAATGACCGTTTTGTTCCAGTACGGGAAATTGACAGTATTCATATTTTCGTCCCACTAGAAATAATTAGTGAACTAACAAATGCATCCGCTTAGATTAAGCCATCATTATTCTTTATGAACTTCAATATGTCATGAATGCTTTAGCACGGAAACGAAAATTTCTTTCCCTACTAATTACACACTTATCACGTAAGCCTTAGTGATTATCATTTCACGGAGTTTCGACTTAATTTTGATTTTGAAATTTAACAGATAGATTCTTTCTCCTCAATGTCTCACATCGAATCGGCACCAAAATATCATGAAACTAATCGATCGAGTTTGGACGAAAGTCCTCATACACTGATTATGAAACTGTTCAGAAAGATAAAAGAAAATGGAATAAGCTACTATATCATCTTTTTACTGTTTCAACTTAACAGTCCAAGAGTAAACTAAAATTTAAAAAAAAATAACTATCAGAAAATAACTGACTTTTTAAATTACAATTTGCAATATCTCCACTTCTGTTTAATGTAAAAAGTGAAATAACTACGGAAATTAAACTCAAAGGCAAATAATAACAATAATAAAGGGGAAACTGGTGACATTTCTATTGAAACACTGAATAATTGAGTAAATGCCAGGAGAAATGGAGAAACAACAATAATAAATGATAAAAATGAAATAGCAAAAATGCATTATTTCGAAATTCTTTTCAATGATAATCGGTTCTTAGATATGATTGGTGTGGAATGTTGCGTTGGTGATGTGGCGGTAATAGGTTGAGATGAACGTGACTGACGACGTTGACGTGTTTTCACGAGATCTGCAATACTCATGTCAGAGTTATCAAATGAATCATTTGTAAGCTGTGAATTAGATGACATTTCTGAATTGTAAGGAGGAGTTTTTATTCTAAATGGATCGGACAACGATATCTTTTGTTGTAAAAAGAAGAAACAATATATAAATGGTCAGTCATAGTACATATTTTATAGGATTAAATTTTATAGCAAAATAAATGAACATTAAATTATGATGAATTTGCAATAAAGTTTGAGACAAAATATTCAGTCAACATCAAGCTAAAATTTAGTGATTCAGTCAGTTATAGTTCGTGTAGAACCAGACAAGCATGTGCATTGGATAAAGTTGATACATCAAATTAATGTAATGAGATCAAATTGAGAAGATGATTATCAGAAACCGAGGTAATAATAATATCGATGTTCAAACAGAGTATAGTTCGAATAGAAGGTTAAGAATTAATAATATGATTTCAAGTTTAAACTCAGAATCCAAAGGAAAAGACAGAAAAGGTGAGTAGGTCAGTGAGACCGAACCATATTGCTTAAGTGTTTCAATCGCAGATCATAACAACTTTGTAGATATCAATTAAGTAGCACGTACCTCCCTAAACAATTCAGACCGACGGTGAATGATTTCATGGATTAATTTTATGCGTTCGTCTCACCATAGCTTTCATCTACCATATTTCGACGGCCAGTCAATCATACGCAACACAGAACCTGGCACATATGTGTACTGGTTTAGGTTGCCACACCACGTTTGTACAGTGAGATAAAATTATCAAGACAAATACCAAAGTAATAAAAGTGGTAACCGTATTAGTAGTGAAAAAATTAGGTATAGACAATATAATTCATGAAACAAAAATGAATTAGTGAGGTGAAGAAAGTATAGGGAAAATTTTGAAATTCAAGATATAAGGAAAGATGAAGTGAGAAAGTATCTAAACCAGAACAACCGATTTTGAACCACGTCACTTAAAGTTTCAAACCACTGGTTACGGTAATCGCGCGGTCCACAACTAGGTGGTCTGCACCCACCTTATTCCATCTGTCAATGGGACTGGTTCTGCCGTTCCTACCAATCTACACCTACACCAGCAAACTTTCACCGTCAAAGTAGGCGGTAGTTGGATATTCTTAATACATTTCCCAACTAAGTTGGGGTAGGGGTAGAATGAGTATGGGTAACAAGCGTTTCCACCAATTCAGCAGAAAAATTCGCAAAATCATCAACCGACTTGCTGAGTTTATGTAGTACCATATGTATGCGGTTCACTCAGTTGTTTTAGAGATAAAAGCACTGTTTCGGAGACAACTATGACCAAAAGCTCGTAAACTACCTGTTTCAGAATTTCAAGGTAATAGGAAGCCAACGAGTACCCTAGTTTTCTGGATTATTAACTGCTCTTCGAAGTAAGGCTTTTTTAGTATGCACAGCTTTTTGTTTTTTGCCTGAGAGATTCGAAGATTCCCAGAAACTAGGATACCGTTAGGATTTTGGTGATTAGGCATTCATGTACGAAACGTGTCAGAGATGTTCAATAGTAGCTGACATAAGAGTAGATTAGAAAGAAATAATGGGTTGACAAATCAAGATTTGACATCAATCCATATATTCATTGACTATTGGTTTGTAGTACATCGGTAGGCATAGACCTACTTTTTAGGCTCCATAGAATATTCGAAATCAATGTATGGAGATGTTATTGAATTTATTTAATCTTCTCATAAATAATCAAATAACTGTTCATTCCAACTTCTTACTCTTCCTTTCAAGAAGCAATTTTCATGTTCAGATTTCTATCGTTCCTGAAATTATTTCCCACCCTATTAGCTACTGTGGAGTCCCGAACAGAGTTTTAAAGTATTTAACATGACTACAGGTTATTAAATTTGTTTACCGAAAGAGTTCGAGTAAAAAATACGGTTAATAGACATAAAAATTTAGTCAGAATAGTTCTGAAATAAAAACTTATTTCATTTTTTTATTGTTTGTGAATTAGTTAAACTCACATTTTCTTTTTCACCCACTGAACTATTCAAAATATCCTTAGGTGATTGAATACATTCTGAAATATCTTTATTATTAGAAAGTTCTAATGAATTATCACATTTATTACTACGTTGGGAACCGCGAGGACGTTTAGCTTTAGGCTCAGGAGTAAAACACGGTTCTTCAGGAATAAGTAGCGGGTGAATAATATCAGAAGTTGGTGACTTTGTAATCTCAACGATCTCGGATTGTTTTATTTCGTGAGAAACAGATTTATCTGATACAGATGTAGACGAAGTTTTTAGTCCAGGGATACTAGAACGAGAACGGGTTCTTCGTGAAAGACCTGTACGCGAAGCACTTCGATTAGGAAGGGTTCGAATATAAGAACACTAAAAATTCAAGAGAAAAATACTCCAACGATTATTATTGAGTAACATTGACAATAAATAATCTATGCTTATCAAACAACGACCAACTGTAACAAAAGTTAATCAAATGAAAACCAAAACTACGAGTGATAAACATTTCCTTATCTGATGAATCTGTCTTATATACAAAAACTACTTATCAGGTACATATAATATTTAACACGAGTAATGATTATTATTTTCTAATGAAACTTAACATCAACTAAGGTGTTGTGAATAATTAGAGATTATCATAAAGCGCTATTGTATTAATAACTATTACGACATTTCCCAATAGTGTATTTCATCATATTTGGAACACATTTACTAAATATATGTGAAACCCAGTGTTGCTGTTCTAATTAACAATTGAATCTGGTACCCCTTGATAGAAAAATTAACGAGTATAATCCCCATTAGCTAGTCTACTGAACTGTATTTATTACCTATCTAAAGCAAAAGTACAAGCCTTCATAATAATCATGATACGAAACATATATTTGAAGAGTAATGAACAATGTTCTGTATTCAATTATTAATTAGCATCAAACATACAATCAAAAGAAAAACAAATTCAGTTTCGTTCAATAAACCTATCTGTACTGATGAACACGGAGTAGTTTGGTATCACAGGTCAAAACTAGTTCATTTTATCGTGTAAGTTACTTTTAAACATCTTGATAGACTTCGTAATTTTAAAAATATCATGTAAAGTTAACTTGATTCATGTTTAGACAACATTTGAATGTTGCTCCAAATTTGATTTAAATTGAATATCCCACAAAACTACCATTGAAATTACACTGGAAACAATGTGAATTCCTTAAATATAGAAAATATTACAACTGATAATGTACAGGAATTTCTTTTAAGTTTTAAGATAGTTTATCATTAACTAGAAAATAAGTGTGTTGCCCAGTTGTTTTAGCTTAATTCTAACGGGAATTTGAGCACCATAAATTTATTCAGTTTGTAAATATGAGGATCATCCGTCGATAATAGTAGATCATTTATTGAATGCTAATTGACCATATCTTTGGACCTGAAGATCTTGTATTTGATTCCATATGACTTCGTTGATTTTCAGCGTCAAGGGAGATGAAACAAAGCAAATGGTGAATTTTTTCTTTTAAATGTTTTCTTAATGAATATGACTGTTGATAGACATTTGAAATTTTGTAAAACAACCGGTAAGTGTTATCCTATTAGATATAAACCGTTCACTATTCTATTCATATCTTTCTCCTTGTATACTTCCTGGAAATGTAACCCTGTTATGCACTGCTATACAGATTGTTCTATTATAAAAATTTAACGTGATATATATATAATATGAACGGTGCAAAGACCTTATTAAAATATTTTACCCCGAGAATTCTAAATAGTACTAAATACAAAGTAATGATTAATGTGATAAGTATTATCTTAAAAATAAAGAAAAGTGAAAAATCTACACAACGCTTTATAATTCCTAACAATTCAAACAAGACTGACGTACAATTAAATTCAGTTGCATATTTTGTTTATCAAACCTTTTAAAGGCTTTATTTTAGATATTATTAGACTAAAATTCACAAAATATAAGTTGAACTGTAGGTTTAGAATCATTAATTACCATAGATATAAAAAATGAAATGTAACGAAGCAAAATTGGCTTTCGGTGTAACGTACAGTAGCAGTTTTTGGTGTATTATTGTTTAAAGATTGTTGACAGTCAGTAGTAGTTGTTGATAGATATCGTTTAATTGGAGTAAAATTCTAAGAAAGAAAAAAACAGTTAAATAAATGTGAAAAAGTCCAACTTAATAAAGAGTTCCTTGAGATTGAGAAATGCAAAAATACTTTATCACAGTAAAATCATATATGCTACATGGTTTATACACACACTACTACGTATAAATGTATTTAAGCTGATACAAATCGAATTTCGAAACCAGTACCTAAAATGATTCAACTTGACCATAAGACTAATCTTCATTCATGATAGTTAGAAAACAAAATTAGCCGGGTAACCATTCAAATTACAGTGAAATTTACGCGACAACAGTTATTTTCATAAGACCTCACTTTCCCAAAGACACATAGCACTAGCAGTCGAAGGACGTTACAAATTCGGATTGCGCACACACACACACACACATTTTCTCTTTGTCTAGACTCTATTAGCTAATATCACAACAACATATACATGAATATTGTGATTCGTTGGTATTTTGGAGATCAATTATAAGATTCAACCTATAGAATGTCTTAAAATTTGTTTTTATTTACTAATCGATAATAAGTTCCCGTCAATTTGAGTCTATTTGTGCTACTAGGAAAATTTTAGTTTGTGAATGAAGTATTGGACATTGATTATTATTGCGGGATCGAAGAAGTTATTTGATTTGAAATTTCACAAAGTTAGTAGGTAGAGACTTGAGAAACCTATGGAGAATTAATCATTCGAATATGGAACTTATTTATTTATTTGAACATATAAATGTTGGTACAAAGGGGCCCCTTCCACAGTGTGGGCAACCGGGAAATGATAACCGCCCTCATACTTCTAAGAGCACTCAAGACCAATATATTCATAATCAACCTCTTTTTACAGTCCCTATTATTACTCCTATGACGACTTTCAACACTAAACTTTCTCTTTTGGCTTCCTCCTCAAGTGTCACCATGGTCAACGATTCTAGTGCACAAAACACTGTTCCAGGTCTACTGAAACCTCGCTCCAAACTACACATTGGAACCTTCAACGTACGTCAAATCAGCCGGCAGGCCTCCTTGGCTAAGACTCTAGAATCTCGTACTATTGATGTATGCTGTGTCTCCGAAACACGCATACAGGATCCTAGAGTAGTCATTCACTTGACCTCAGCCCGTGTGTCTGGAGACCCGATGACTAGTTCTCGTGGACTGGCAGGTGTAGGCATAGTATTAAGTACGAGGGCAGAACAAGCACTATTAGAATGGATCCCATGAACAGTCGTCTATGTGCTGTTCGGCTTAACGGTTCCGTAAGAACTCGAAAGGATAGGGACACACGTCGTTGCCTTTTGGTTGTTTCTACCTACGCTCCCACTGACTTCAGCTCGGATGAAGTTAAAGATGAACAATGGATTTCTTCTAGGTCTATTGCACTGACTGATTATTGTAAACTCATCCCATCAGGCTCTGAACACGATGACAAGCGAAAACAAATCAGATCTAGGTTAAGAAAAAGTCTAAGAAACGACCGTGAGCAGTGGTGGGCAACGAAAGCAAAAGAGATGGAAAAGGAGGCGGCTATAGGGAACACAAGACAGCTCTACAGACTAATAAGAGAAACTGGAATTAATAAGTCAAGTGTAAGTCAGATTATTTCGGGAAAAGACGGCACTCTCATCTGCTCCCAGTCCAGACGTTTAGAACGATAGGCGCAACACTTTAAGGAGCAGTTCAGTTGGCCTTCAGCTACTCTACGACTATCCACCACTCTCAGACAACGTGAATGGAACATTGAAGTAGGCTCCCCGACTCTGGCTGAAGTTCAAAAGGTTAGAGCTAATCTGAAACAAGGTAGGGCAGCTGGTCCAGATAGATTGGCTCCAGAGGTCTTTAAGTATGACAGTCCAATTTTAGCGATTAGGTTGACTAATTTTTTGCCAAAATCTGGGAGTTGGACATAATCCCATCTGGCTGGTCGCAATTACTTATTGCCCCGATGTATAAGAAAGGGTCAAAATCGTCCTGTGAACACCATAGAGGGATTAGTTTAACTAATATAGTATCTAAAATACTAGCCTCGATAATTATCAGACGCCTAACTAAGACTCGTGAACTGCAGACACGAGAGAATCAAGCTGGCTTCAGACCTGGTCGTGGCTGCATCGACTACATATTCACCATTCGTCAGGTTCTAGAACATAGGCATACTTATCGGCGTCCGACAATGGTGGTCTTTCTTGACTTAAAAGCAGCATTCGACTCTGTAAACCGAGACACTCTGTGGCAGTGTCTCATTGAAAGGCGTACCACAGAAGTACATAAACCTTGTGAAGGCTCTTTACTCGAACACTACTAGTCGAGTCAGAGCTTATGGCGAACTGTCATCTACTTTTGCAACCTCAAGTGGTGTCCGTCAAGGCTGTCCACTTTCCCCATTTTTATTTAACTTCATCATAGATCTACTGATGGAAATAACACTCTCGTCGACTGAATTCTCGGACATTGATCTCATTCCAAGAGGTCCACTTATCGACTTAGAATACACAGATTATAAAGCCCTGTTTGGTGAAGACGCTGAGAAAATACAGTCTATTAACAGCAATCAGCAACAACGCCAGAGTGTTTGGGATGCACTTCTCCCCCTCTAAATGCAAGTTGTTGCTTCAGGATTGATCTGCGTCAACACCTGAACTAAGGATAGGGAGTGAAGTAGTCGAACGCGTTGACAACTTCCCTTATCTTGGAAGTCTGATTAGCCCGAATGGGTTGGTATCTGACGAAATCTCAGCACTGATTCGAAAAGCTCGTTTGGCATATACCAACCTACGTCACCTATGGCGAAGGCGAGATATCCGTCTATCAATTAAAGGACGAATATACTGCGCGGCGGTTCGTTCTGTTTTACTTTACGGCTACTAAACGTGGCCATTGTGAGTAGAAAATGCTCATATGTTGCTAGTATTTGATCACAGCTGTCTTAGAAATATTGCTCGCATCTACTGGGATCACCGGGTAATTAATAGTGAGGTTAGACGTGGGGTATTCCGAAATAATGGTAAATCAGTTGATGAGGTTGTAAATCTTCACAGACCTAGATGGTTGGCCACGTGTTACGTATGCCTGAACACCGATTACGACGACGCACAATGCTGACTAGCATTGGGGATGGTTAGAAGGAAGCTAGGGACGGCCAAACCAAAACGTGTCATCAGTGCTTGAAGTTACTAACTTCTAGTCTGACCCATGTTGGTAGATGCAGACCACTAGGTTGAGGTCCGCGCGGCTATTGTAACCGATGGTTGTAGACTATGGGTGACATGGCTCAGAATCAATCACAATGGCGTAGGTGTATACACTGTTTGTCTTTCCCTAAACCGTGAGATTAAAATTGCTTTATACCTTTATTTCTACGAACTAATTCTTTCTTCCTGTATCATATAGTTATATACAATTTTACTTTTACATATTACTACCATTGAAGTAACTGCTTCTATGAATTTGGTGTTCATCTTGTTGTGCTAATGAGGTGTGGCAACTTGGAACGATGCATATATGTGCCTGGTCCTACGTTGTAACTGACTGACAAACGGGCACCAAACACATATGCACCACATAAGTCACTTGATTTGTGTGTGGGCTGTAATACTGTCCGGCTGCCCAAACCGAAGCAAGTGGTTTTCTTAGGGGGCCATATCCGGAGCCTTCGATACAAAGGTCTGATCCACAAGGCAGCGGAGCATCATAAGAAGATGCAGTCCCATGGTATCCGGTGACCAACAATTGGTTCATACGCCATTTGTTCATTCAGGATCCTGGAGCCCATGTGCACTATTGGTTTGGAATCAGTGTTTTTCACCACCCATACGTGGATCCTCCATATTCACCAAAGCCAATTAAAGCGTCAAACATCCACTTCCCGTCCTTTCAATTTCGTAAACAACACCCATGGTGCGAAAAGGCAGTGAGTAGGACTTCCCTAGCAGTGGCTGTAAACGCGTGTCCATATGAGAGCATTTCCAGAGGGAGAGCTGACTCTCCTTACCCTCGACCATACGAGAGCATTTGGGGACAATAGGGAACTAAACTATAAGATGTGGTACTAGCAACGTATAAATTCGATAATACCGTGGAGCAAGCACCTTAGATGTAGGGTTTTTGTCAACCACTTTCAAAATTGATAATAAAGCATCTGAGGAAACTAGTCATAGTACTTCTCATCAGGCAACAATTGCTTAGCATATAACATAACATTTATCACACACAAATTACAGAGATATTTCATCGTATATGTCGTCTTTTTATTTTCTACCTGCATCCTCTTCCTTTCTGCTTCTTTCTGCATACCACATTTTACTACTTATTAAAATTCAGTGGTCAGCTTCCGCTGTAAAACCATTCGGACAAGTAGCATATCATGTCTATCCTCTTTGTGTAATATTTCCAAGTATTTCCATAAGCTGATAGCATTCAGTTTATTCATTATTGTAATTGCAGTTCAAGTTTTTTCGACGTAGTAGAATAAGTTTGATTGCAACAATTATTTCCTACGACTTTAGTACAGAGAGCAATGTTTAATTGACATAGCATTACATTATTACACTCCCAGCAGATCTTATGAATATTTCTGAACGATTTCATACCGCACATAATTCTAATCTACCACAGTTTTCCTACCTTTGCTTTAAGGATTTATTAATCTTTTATCCTTAGAACATTATGTTATGATATCTGTTATATTCCTCAACAAAAATTATTACGTAAAATAATGTTCCATATATTGTGAATTATATAATTCTGATAAACTTCGTCTTCTCATTGCATTATCGAAATTTGTCAAAGGGACTAATTGTTTTAAATAACATACTTGTTCTTTAAGTGGAAGACCTTGTTTAAGCATTGATTCAGTTGGTGATGGACAAGTTATATTCAAAATAGAGGAAGAATTTTCGAGTGAAGTGGAAACTTTTGGAGTTTCTATTGTATTGTGAACAGGAGTTGATTGTGCACGACCAATAGAACCACGTAATAATGATGACAAACCAACACCAGTAGAGTGTGATGTATTCGATGCAGAAGTTAAGGATTTGCTATGATTCAAAGGAGAATTAGATATTTGTAAATCTATTTCACATCCTGATTTTGAAAACAGAAAGTCCTTTAAAACTTGTTGTAAACAGGATACAACAGTAGGATCCTGGAAACGATAAAAATGAAAACATATCAACAGAAAACATTCACTATTGAAATGATTGAAGTATGCTGAGGTAGTCATTCTTGATTATGACCATAGAACACTTAGTCATTGACATTTAACTCACCTAACCTGATTGATTTAGGTTTAATAGGATGGGATATTTGTTGGTGATATGACGCGAATACTATGAAGGGCTAACTCCAGTCAAAGACGTTAAATAAATTAATCCTGAAACGTTCGATGAAGTTAGTGTATTGGGAATGAGACAAAGTTGACTGCTTAATCAATATTACTAAAACCTTGGAACTAAGCCAAAACAATTCAATAGGTTGTAGGGCCCAGAAGAGCTGAATACAGTAAAGAATTCAAAGTACTATTACACTATATCGTAAATTAGATAGGATTTCTATGAAAAGAAAGACTTTTGATTCTCTTCGGGATATGGAGTAAAATACAGCCCTCGGTTTAAATATGTAGAAATATTTCGCAAACTTTATTTATTGACTATAAAACTTAGTAATTGTTGTAGTCTTGGGACAAAATAAATGGCTTTAATCTCTTCCTGAAGAGTCATCATTTAATGGAAGAGTTAGTTATTGACTGTACTAAGCCTCCTTGCATCAGTAAAATGCTTATACTTATCAATGAATCGTGCTTAGCTGATAGTATTGATACAAAGACAGCATAACTTATTTATCATTAAGAATATTTTCATGGACAGTGTAAATTCATTTCTTAATTGTTCAAAAATCAATTGATTCACTAAACAGTAAACATATATACCTAGTGTGCTTTCCTGAATATGATGTGATATACATGACTGTAAAAATTATTTGACGTGACAATTAAACAACGAAGCTAAAGATATACAGTCAACTTACTGACTCAGTTGATGCAGTACGACTGGAACGTCGACCGATTGGTTTTTCAACTGTAACATTGCTAGCAGATGTATAATGTAAAGTAAGAAGGGGAATTTTACGCGAAGGCTGATTATTTAATTTAGACGTTGCAGTAATTGTTTGACAATGACGTAACTGCAAGTCGGTGAAACATAAAACACGACCAATTTGAACTATGTCCATTAAATGAAGAGCCTAAAAAGAGCGAAAAGATTACACATATATTAACTAATTCATGAGATGTAGAATCATGAACTCCAGCATTTGAAGTAAATGGTACTAGGTTTGAGCACTGGAGTGAGCATCGAATCTGCAATGTACGTTCATCTGGCTGACGAGTACCACGTAAGAAGAAACGTGCGTTCTGGATCACACTGCTAGCCACCATACATATGACATAATATTCAAGACGTTTCCAACCATTGATTTCTAAAATAGAATACCTGAGCTATGTGTTGACTGAATTGATGATTACAGATTGAAAAGGTCTTGTTTACTAATTTTCAAACTCCATGAAAAAAAGTTTACAGAAGTTGTGCCTGTGTTCCTCTAGTTTTAACAAGATTCACAGGATTAACACCTTAAGCAATTAAGATTCTTAAAAAATGCAGGGCTAAACTCTGAGATATCACATTTTACTGTTCATATAAATCGAAAAGGATTTTTTAATGGTAAACACATCCAGCTGATCATTAAACAACAAATAGGTATATTATTAACAGTTGGTCTTTCAGTGAAACCAACCTGTAAACCATCCCAAAATTTGATCACAGATAAACATGTTTCTGATTTACAATTCGCATCCACTGCATAAACGCAATCGACATCAGAAGAAGGATATTTGAAAGGAGTATCGATTGTTCTTGGATGGTTCATCTGTTGTTTAACATCAGATGGATAGCTTTTGTAAGATGGATTCGAATGCACTGGAGTATGATAAATTGCTATAATCAAACAACGTAAATCAACTTCATGATTTCCTAAAAAATAATTACAATGGAGGAGAAAACCTAATAAGTACCTCATATATAATTTAAATGATACCAAAAACAATTATCTAAAATATAGTCTGAAAAATGAGAAATAAGTGAAATAAGCTTATAATATTGAAGCAATTAGTCCCTCTGATATACTTCGATAGTGTTATAAGAAGACGAAGAGTATCAAAACATAGTTCTGATAATTTTCGTCTTATAATATTGAATGGGAGCAGAGATACGGTAGCTACACTCTTAGAAATATTATACGCGACTTAAGTGTATAACTAACATTTACATTTATACTAAATTTTGTAACACAACATATATATGCTATCATTAATATCAATACACACAGGCAGCCAGGAATATGATTTTTCCTGAGAAATCGTTAAAACATGATACTATAAATATTGTAACAAATTATCCATTGTTTTAAAATCTGTTGGATTATAGAACAAACAAGCGACGAACACGTATCTTCATTATTCAGGCAAGGACACTTATTTAACATTACTATTTCAACAAAGAATTATACCTTTGTTAAATGAACTCGTAGATTTGTCCGCCTGAATAATCGTTTGATAGGCTTCAGAAACACTTAATTTTACTCTTGGATGATATACACGAGAAATATTATCAATAGAAACAATTCCTTTCAAGTTGGAAATATGACCTAATGATAAAATGCGTGTTGTACGACCACCAGAAAGGCTTATTACAAAACCAGAAGGTATATTAACGCCTATAGGTTTGATAAATCCTGGAACAGTTGATGGAGATACAAATGGATCGTTTGCACGTGTAGCCGACACCTAAAAACGTATGATCAAGAAAAAAAGTAATTAATGGATAAATAAGTTAAATATTTATACATGGGATTTCTTCTGGTCATTAATATTACAGAACTAGAAGGGAAACACTATATAAAGAGACTAACTATATAAAATTATATAGATAAGTGAAAAAATATAAAGCAGGAACATTTCTTAACCTTACTGGTATTATAATAAAATCTGCTTAACATCCTGACACTAGAAGGAGACTTAAAAGCTAAATATTTCGTAAGTGCATAAAGAGAGATGGCTTAATTCTTAAATCATTTAACATTCAACAACTATTCAATTCGGATTTAGGCAGCCATGTGGTATCAATATATATATATTTCCGGATCGGACGAACAAATTTTGAAATGCTAAAATGAATGAATCAAATGTCAATTACCATCAAAAGATTGAACTATTAATTTAAGTCCCTGAATAATTCCAGAACAAAAAAGTTCTTTTTATCTAATAAAATAACATGATTATTTATAAATTATTAACAAGAAAATAAGCATTTTATGCTACAATCAGATAGACGATATCAGGACATCGTCAATGAATTAAAACTTAACTATTGGGAAGAATTCTTGTCTATCATAACAGCAGAATATCCAAACCTTAAATTATTAAAATACAAAGGTAATATCAAATCAATGGCTTACTTCATTTCTGGAAGATAATTTTGTCACTTACTTGCAAACGATAAAATTCAACAATCTCTCCTTCTTTCAAAACTGATAACATTTCATCCGTTGGACTCCACAAAGTAATCAAAGCGCCTACAATTTATTTAAATTGTAATGACATTACATTAACATTAACAGCAACGTTAATCGTGCCAATATCTTTAAGAGGAAATATATATAATGTAGCAGTTATTACGCAATTCATTGGACTAATTAAAATAAATTCAGAATGCACAATTGTAATAATCGATACGAATGTGTCTACACGATTGTTGGAAAGATTTCAGCCAAAAAGCACAGAAATCACCCATGTAGTAATTCAGTATATTTGAAAGACGACCAACCATTAAGAAATAAATAAGTCTATTTATTATACGAAAATTGTCCTCCACTTCAACGAAATAAATAATCACAGAGTTAATATGAAATAATATTCAACATTTGTAATATCCAATAACTAAAAAATCAAGTAAAAAATAGCTATTGTAAACAATTTTCCCGAAAAATGACTCTGGTAGTAATTCATTATTGAAATATTAGCCGCAAATTTGAAAAGGGAATGGTATTTGATATTAGAGGCGACTGTATTCTAGTCAAGATAGAGTGCGGAATATTGGAGTGAGATGACCAGAATTAAGGACAACGTTTTTATAGGACTGTGAGAGAAATACAGAAAAAATCATAACAAAGTAATTAATTGTACTTTGAAATTACTGGTAGAAACCAGTTACGCATTTGCATTACCCTATGAATGGAATAAGATATATAATGATATGTATACTGAGTTATGTTAAGTGGTTGGAATTAGTCGGCAGGAAATTCCGAACTTGGGTCTCATACTAGTTGACACTCATCAGCAGAGTATACTTGAAATCTTGGAGGAAATGATAGTCATAGTGAGATTTGAAAACAGCCTGTGAGTTACGGTTAAGTGATGGAATATATTAAACAGTTGTTTCAAAGAATCAAGAAAATGATGAATGGATTGAAATGATAATTTGATGTTTTATAAATATCCTTAATTCTAGATTCTTAAGAAAATTTTTAAAACATACTATGAATACACACATGTTTCCCATTGTATCATTATTGTTGATGGAAACTGGAACAAATTTTTTGAATTTCCTTTCTTTTCTTAACCTTTTAGAGAAGGGAACGGGCTAGAGTTAAAAAGTAATCGAGAATAGTGGAAAATTTTATTATATAATTTAGTTAGATTTTTTAATTGAGTACCAAAGCATGTTATACGTGACAATATAGTGATCTGAATCAATGGTTATCACATAACAAAAGATACAAAAAATCAATACTAAGAGTAATAATTTCTAACTCACTATAACCACTAGCAATATCTCTAGGATGAATTCCTGAAACTCTTAAACGCAAAAGAGGAGTAATCTATTGAAATGGAAAAATAAACGGTCAGTAAACAAAATGCATACTATCCAATGAAATTAAGATATCAATTATAAATTTACCAAATAAAAACGACATAAAAACATCCCTTAAAAAAAGCAGAAATAAGAGAACATATAAAAAGTGTATTATAAAAATTTGTCATCTAACCTGTCTAGGTGGGACATTTTCAATAATTGCATCATGAATGATAGACTCTTTATAATGTTGTATAGCATCACGTTGTACTTGAGTTAAATTAGATTCAGCTTCCATAGAATCTGGAGCATTTAGAATTGCTTGTAACAATGCTTCACCATCATTACCCAAAGCTATTAATTGTTCATGTGTAGGTTGAATTCGACGTTTGCCTAGTCAATACATAAAAAGCAGGTACAAATAAAGTAATCAATTCATTAGTAGACGACTAAGCACCATCTTCAGAATGATTGAATATAATAAATTCGTTAATGTTTATTGAATATTCAATCAATCAAATACATTCATTGAAGTTGTCAGATATCACTTTTATGTTTTGAACAAGTAGAATAAATTAGTTAAACTATACACTAAACGTTGAAGAATAATCTGTTTAGTAAATACTTGAAATAATTACCTTTAATTAGAACAACAATACAGCAACCGACTACCTGCATTAAGTAATCTAATATGGGGTATACTTTTGTGGATGGGAATCACTGACAATGTCTGGTTAGCTAAATTGAAGTAGTTACGACGAAACTTGGACCCGTAAATCAAGAGTTGAAATTTCGATGCTATAGTGTGAGCTGGTGGCTTAGTGACTAACGCATTCGATTGCCAACCATTAGATAGCAGATTCGAGTCCCGCCTAACCTACTTCACTTCAGGTAGCCTTTACATATAAATTGTGCCTCAAAGCCGAACACATGAATCTGTACTTGGTGAGTCGTATCAGATGCTAAAACACTAAACCGAGGCCTCATTGTGCAAAAATACTGAACACAAAGTAACTAGTATAGAAGCATTCGATTCATACATAATATGACGTCCAAAAAGTAGTCAACTGTTATTTGCTACGTGCAAATGCATATATTATACAATCGAACACACATGCTAACGTTTTAGAATAAAATTTAAATACACATATCGATATCAGTTAAACAATTACATTAACACCGTCGAAAGCCGGCTCAGTTCATGTGCGAGACCGAAGGTCCTAATTTTGATTCGTGGATGCACACCATTGAGGAGTCTCACACAAGGACGAAATGGCCGTCCGATGCTTTCGGGTTTTCAATGGAAGTCTAACTAAAATCAGTTCGTGATGATAAAGAATACTAAAATTACTAGAAAATCAAGAACCATTACGCCGTCGCTTGCTTTTGTTTAGTGATACCACAACCGTGTTGACTGCTTCACATACTTTTGTGATAGAACAAAGTATTCTTAAGGCTTTACAACTCTTCTTGTATATTGAAATCTAATAACTGAGATCTTTAACCATCTGATTAGTTGGTGGTGTTTAATTGATTTATATTTAAAACTGGATGTATTTAAAGCTATTTTAAGATTATATTTGTCTTTTTGTTACATATGTGTGATAAATATAGAAAAGTTGACGAATTTTAGTTCAACACTTCAATATTTACTATGTTAGGTCTTCAAAAATGTCATCAATTAGATAAGAATTAATAGTTGGTTTCAGTGACCATTAAGGATTTCTAATGTATCTGAACAGGAGACCAATCGGAAAACAGCTCACATTAATGACATCAGAATAATTACGATTCTCCAATTTTAGGAAAATAAATTTTAAATAGGAATTTACAATCGAAAGCATACTTGGATTATTAACTACAAGTTTATCCAAGGCTCCATCAATAACTTTGAGTCTGCGCGCTTCATATAGTCTAACTTCCGCCTCCTCAGCCCGTTCACTGCGAAAAATTCGACGGCGATTTAAACGAAACTTTGAAGACAGTTCATCTGGACCAGAATTTGTACGTGTCAAAAGAGTTGATGTATCTGCATTTTGTTCCGGGACCTCTAATGTCTCCATATATTGTAGGGAATATCGACGCTTTTGCAGGAAATGAAAAGACACAGTATTGAAATGATCACCAGTATATGAGGTGCTATTACTATTAATATTAAATATTAGAAAAAGAATAGTAAAAACTCAGTTCTAGAATGTATTAAAGGGGGTGTGTTTGTTGAACGAATATCAGATTGTTAAGTGGATGAATAGAATGCTGATTTACAAATGAACGGAATGGTAGGACGTGGCTAAGTACCAACTACTTACGAGACTGGAATATTGACTCGAATTCCGTTCCCCAATGAAGTGATACCGAAAAGATCTCACTAGACAAAGGGATAAGCTCTTCATCTAATGGAATAACACGATTATGTACTAATTCTTAACAGAAAAAGAAACAGACAGTTGAAGGAAATCAGTCTTGTAGGCAGGCCACTTACGCTCCATTGAATTAAGCCCGAATTGTTAAACAATTCTTGGATATCGGAATGCTGATCAAAACGAGTGTCGCACATTTGAATGAAGTTATGAAAGCAGACAAATGTATACTAAAAATCAAAAAGTATTAGAATCATAAAGATAATGGGTCATTGGAATTGAACTGATCAGATTGATTTCAGGTTACTCCAAATACGATATTTAACAATTTATGCCTCTAATTTCATCAAAATATCACTTACTAAAGGCATAAAAACCCAGTAATCTTTGATTACAATGATTGGTGTGACTCATAGATAAGTGGTTGATGAATGTACCAAGGTATGATAAATTTATTACATCAGACAATAATTCACCATATTATGAACCAGAATTTCAGAATCTCTAATTTTCATTGTCAAACTAATCTGAAATCGATGAAATTGCTGGTCATTAGTTTGGATCATCAAAGTGAACGTAGAATAGTTAGAATTCAGAAAAAAGATAAACGTTGATATTCCTTTACGTTTTTGTTCGTAAATTTAAATAATTTGAAATACATCACTTTATATTGTTCTATTTTGATCCTGTCAATTATTCGTCTAACCAGTGCAAATAGTTTATTTACGCAACAAATATTAACAAACATGTAAAAAAAAAGCATTTCAATTTGCATCAACCTTATTTCATTCTAAGCTGTCTCTGTATAACAAGAGGTGGTTATTAACACTTCTCTCATTGTCAATTTTGACAATTTCTTATTTCGATGTCTAATTCTATTTGAGTACCAAACTAAGAGTATGACTTGTCAGCATTGTTAGTTAAAATATGATTCATATTACTAGTTTTCACAATGCTTGTATTTCACTCACTACAGGCCGATTCAGTTTTAGCGCTAGGTTACATGCAAAACAACCAGTTGAATCTTTCTACTGTTGGTTGAATAAAAAAGAATATTTAATGACCAGTGTCAATTCGAATATATATCAACGAGTAAATATTTACTTGAAAACTTTATTAAAATTAGAAATAATCATCAACGTTGCCGATTGTTTTGACTTGTTTTATTAGATCCACAAAATAATTTGGTTATTTAAACTAAATCATGTATGAAAAGTTAATGAACCATCACAGTTGTTTGTTGTCTGACAATACTTTTAAAATAACATAAAGAAATTACTATTTTAAAAGTTGGACATACTCACAAATAAACACCCCCTAGTGTCCATACCAAATTCTTATGGCTCCATAACGAACATACGTATGTATCACTATAATGTAGTTCAGGGAATATGGTCACCTTACTGAACATAAAGAGATGGTATTTAGTTCTAAGGAAAAGACCTACAATGTAAGCTAATATACAATTCGCAGATGAATAACTTTCCTGAGAATAACTGAAAATTGGACCAGACGATCTATGTTTAAGAAGTATGTTTTACCGTTGAGCAATAAAGTTGAGACATATTCTATGTTATGTTATTGCATTTGGCAAAGAAAATTATTGATTCACTAACAAATATGTAATCTAGATCATCAGAAGAACATGGACTATGAGACTCAGAAGTATGAAATACCTAAAAGCATAATTTATTGGGGTGAATAATTAACCATTTCAACTAATCAACGAATTAATTTAGTGAAGTGAAAAGTATTTAAGCAGAAAAAAAGACAGAAACATACTTGGATTACTACTCGAATTGAGCTACAGATACCTCCATCTGAACTGAGAGTACATAGAGGAACTGGATACAAGCCAGCACCCGAACTTGGTTGTTTTGTAGCGAATCCTAGGCGTGAACACCAAGAAACAGGTCGTGTAGAATTTCCATGCAACTTCAAAGCCATTCCAACAGCTACACCGTCATCTCCATATAAATGCTTAAATTCATCAATTTGCTCATCACCTGAAGAGCACTTCCTTTTAGGCTGATTGTTAGTAGATGATGGATTGGTTACGACTAGTTCAGCACCAGCAGTTACTAACTTCGAACCAACACGAATTTTTCCAGAAGTAATCAGTGTTGTAAGCATGGGATCTGGATGCCAAGCAATTTGATACCAGCCATCTGTCAGACAAGCCTTCTTTGAAATAAAAATAGTAATATTAACGATAAATAAGGGGCCATAATGTGTGGACAGGATACAACTTTCAACAAAACAGATACGGAGTGCACTATGAGGTTGCGAAAATTTACGTTGAATATGCGATTGTATAGCACATTTGCTTATCATAAGAAATTAGCAATTTTGATCCAAGATGGATGTTATAATTGAAACCAAGAGCATATATGACTGAAAGGTAATCACTCGATCGACTTAGTAAGGTTTCACAACTGAGATTTCCTCGACTTTTTCTTCCAAAGTTTGGCTTCCTACTACTATTAATATGAAAGTTCTGACTCCTTCCACCCTTCTTAAATGGATTTTATCCAGCTATGATGACGTGAAACAGCAAATTGAATGGAAAAACGTTTGTGATCATTATCAAGGCTTCTAGATTAGTTTTCCGTAGGACTTAAATTTAACTAAACTACAGTCAATAGACACGTAAATTAAAACGAAACTAGAGACTGTCGTGTTTCACAGTCCGTTTGAGTTCTAACAAAACGCTTGACTCGAATTGATTATGGATAACTGCATGCGGAGACACACTAAATAGGTCTTTATCGTCCTAAGACTTATTGCAATTTCAGTGTAATTATATTACAGTGACGCTTTGAAGATAATCTTCAGCAAATAAGAAAAGAGTATGTATGAATAAGAAGTATGTCGTTACAGAAGTAATGAAACTCGAAAAAGCATAGTGGGTTCAGGAAGCTTATAAGTTTTTCAAGGCTTATAATCAGCTTTCCGGTGTTAGTATTGAAAAAATATCGCTACATAATTTCATTTATCCGAGTGGGAATATATTAGCACTTAAGATTTCTCAGAATCATAAACAGTCCTATAGAAAATTCAACACCAGCGAAAACCTTCATTAACAAATTTGCTGAACACTAAGCGAGATGGAGTAACAATATAACGATATGGGGATGTTGTGAATGGAAATCGTTATCTGTTTCCTATTTCATCAATTCGCCTATCATTCAGTGAACCACTAATACGGCGGTTTGTTTGAAAGTTTATTAAGAATAAAGTAATCTGAAACAAAGCTACTAATTTACACTCTATGTACAATCTACATGGGAAGAAATAGACATATACTATCGAAGGGTTTCTCGAGTTATTCCTTTGTTGATATTCTTGACTGAATTTTCACCGGTCTTAGCTAGTATATGTGTATACTGTGCGGATTGCTTCGATGTAGTCACACGTTTTATAAAAGAGGTCGACTGTAATTAACAGTGGAATCCAGGTCACGCGTTTCGTCTTATCTAGAACTCTATAACTGGATTTACTTGCATCCTAGGGTTGATGTCGCTCTGCGATTTGAACCCAACACCTTCCAAATACCAATAAGTTAACCACTCAGTTGTGCAACATGTGTGCATTTGATTTAATTTATAAGGGTTTTTGAGTAGTCCTATTGTGGATCATGTGTCGGCATTTGAAGTGAAAGGTACTGGGTTCGAGCAGTGGAGTGACAAATTAACTCTGCGATGCAGGTAAATCCAGCTATAGAGTTCCAGGTAAGACGAAACGCGCGTCCTGGTTTCCATTTTTAATTACAATCGATCTCTTTTATAAAACAGTTAAAGTGTTTAACACTGCCATTCTCACCCTAAAACAGCAAATACACAATTTTTTATCGACTTTAAACGTTTTGAGTGTTATGCAAAGGTATTTACATTGGGCTTTTTATGCGATCTAAGATAAGTGTTCTTCACTTTGAATTTCATGCGAAGAACCAAAAGTGGCTTAGGGGTTATAATATACAGTTATACTGAAATTTTTGTACCTACGAAGCATTAAAGATAGCCATTAAATACCAGTGAACCACGACAATTCATTTTATTGGGTGATGAAGTAAAATGAACACCCAATCACATCTGGACTTAGTATCCGCATCTTAATAACAGAACATGACCCAGAATAATGTTTCGAGAGGCTTTCTGACACAGTTAGTATAGCAAACAAACGTTTGAAAGCTCTAATACTCATTTTCCAACTTGGTTCTATGTATCACATTTCTTTCACTCGACAGGGCAAATGAATTTTAGATTCCTAAGTGCAATGCGAACTATTCAAAACCTGATGGTAAACAGTGAGCTTTAGAACAACATGTGTAGGTGAACAATACTGTTTTTTGACCACATCCCTTGCCATGCAATTACTGTAAACAATCCCATGACTTTTGAGTAAGGATGATAATAGAGGACAATATAATAACAAGTTAATCTGTTTGCTCTGTTCGTCTTCAGACTGGCCATCAGAGTAGAAGAAGCTCGTTGAACCAATCAGAATTAGGATTTTATAGCCACTGAGTTACTGGTCAAAGAAGTCATTGGTCAGACAGTCCTAAAGTGAACTAATTGTAAACGGACTCAGTAATCAAATAACCTGATCAAGCGGGCTAAAATAGGAAGAATTTTTGGATCAGCGACATAGTATACTTTAAGGGGTTTATTCGATAGGGAGGACTTGAGCAAACTAGATCAAAGTAACAACCACTAATCCGGACATTTAAGCAGCAATCAGAATGATTAGATCATAACAGTCGTTGGAATTTATACGAATATTCGTCACGATTAGAAAGAATAATTTGACAGAAATTGGGCGCCGAGTATAGAAAAGTCATTATATGTGAAAATCATATCTGAAATAATCTCAGCGATTGAAATTTAAATAATTCCAACATTGACTGGTTTAACACAGTATAGTTTTGATTGTTAAAAAGCTATATATTTTTTTGATGATTTTGTTTGCTACGCTGAAGAAGTCCGGACAAGTTAGCTGGACGAAACGTTGGAACTATTTAAATTTCAATCGCTGAGATTATTTCAAATATAATTTTCATACATAATGAGTCATCGAAATTAACTAGAAAAAATCTAACCTTTATACATTGGTCAAAAATATCTATGCGACTGACGCACAAGATTAGACGACGCGCCGGTGTATCGTCTTGTTCGATGACTTTTCGAAGAGCTGGTCTATAGGAAATACATAGAGAATACAAGTGTAGTTAGACAACAGTACGAAAATCATTTAGAGATTACTGACCAACTATCTGAAGCACACTGTAAGCTAAGAGATATTCGTGTTATAGTAAGATTACAACATTCAAGTAGACTGAAAACACATAATCACTGAGCCGGCATCCAACAGTGTCAATGTGTAGCTTCAATCAATCCATGATGCTGATAAACCATCTTCTATTGTCTTTGGTTGGTAAATGCCTCACACCCAAAACGGTTGAACTCCACTGGTCACGGCTTCTCATGGATTATTTATTTATTTATTTTATTTGAACATATGAATATTGGTACAAGAGAGCGCCGATATATATGCGCCACACAAAACAATGAGAATTCGAAGAGAAATAGAAAAAGAAAAAAAGCTAAGGAGCGCAATAAAAGAGAACAATAACGAAGAGATTGGTGTAAGGTAGTATGGTAGAAATGAGGGAACAGAAAGGTACAATCAGAAGAAATCTTTCAGTTAAGGAAGATACAACCACTTTTTACGAAGAAAGTAAAAAGGTTACAGCAGGATCGCCACTGGCTTCTATTCTGAGCCATATCTGATGACGTCTCTAGGCACTGTGTAGCACCATCTCTCGGACCCCAGCCAGGGAGTCGTGAAGGACCAACACAAGCCAGTCCTTTGCAGCTTTCTTTCATGCCACGACACCATGTCATGCACTGACCACCTCTCCGCTTCTTCCAACCAGTCCCAGAGTCGGCAAATAATGCACGACGTGGAATTCTCTGGGACGACATTCGGAGAACATGTCCAAGCCACCGAAGTCGGTGTTTCAAGATGGTGGCACCAATTGAGTTATCATCTCTGTGCCCGAACACACGATGCCGGACCTCTGCATTACTGACATGGTGTCGCCACTGAATGTCAGCAATCCTTCGGAGACAGCGATGATCAAACACAGAGAGTCGTCTAACGTCCTCAACTCGGAGAGACCAGGTTTCACAAGCATAGAGCAAAACTGCTCTCACCGACGTGCGTTGATTTCATCACTCACACCCCCACCAGCACTTATGCAGCTACCCAGATACACGAACTTCTCAACTACGTCTGTCTGCTCACCATCCAGGGTGAGTACAGGATTGGAATCCTGCCAGTCCTGTAGAAGTACTTTGCACTTCGAAGGTGCAAAGCACATACCATACCTACGGACACTGATTGCCAACTGATTAAGTGCGGATTGCATGGCTTGGGCATTATCGCACAGTAAGACAATATCGTCCGCATAATCAAGATCGAGAAGTCATTCTCCAGGCAACAGATCCACACCACTATTACTCACATTCATCAGAGCTGTTTCCAGAATGTCATCGATGGCAAAGTTGAAGAGGAATGGTGAGATTGGGCAACCCTGTCTAACACCACTGCTCGAATGGAACAATGGAGATAGGTTGTATGCCCTCACTCTGCCTAGGTGTTTGCATATAGGGCTTTTAGGATGTTAGTAAACTTCTCAGGCACACCCTTCTTCAATAGACAATCCCAGAGAACAGTGCTGTTCAACGCATCGAAGGCAGCCCTAATGTCAAGAAACATTACGATTGTTGGCCTTTGATAAGTATGGCGGTGTTCTAACATTTGGCGGAGGGTGAAGATATGATCAATACATTCTCGACCAGAACGAAACCCAGCCTGCTCCTCGCGAGTCAATCTTTCTCGGGTTTTGAACAACCTACGAAGTATGACGGAAGCCAATAGCTTGGACGCAATCGGAAGTAGACTTATCCCCCGATAGTTGTTACAGGAACGACGTGAACCCTTTTTAAAGATAGGGACAACTATCGACTCATTTCATGATGTTGGAACACTCTCTAGTTCCCAAACCTTTGTAAACAACGTCGTCAGTTGCTTAGTCAGAAAGTCACCACCATTTTTGAAAAGAGCCGGAGGTAAGTCATCTGGGCCAGGTGATTTGTAGCACTCCAAGAGTTGGAGTTCCTTGCGGACTTCCTCCTCGTTTGGTGGATCAGTCGTCACCCGCCATGGAGGGCAGGACAGTCTGACCGATGTTACCGGAGCAGCAGGCCAGTTGAACTGCCCTTCGAAAAATTCTGCCCATCGTCCAAGATGTCGATGGATGTTAGTGATTGGCATCCCATCATCCTCGCAGATTGTTTCACTCACACCACACTTCTTGCTGCCAGTGGCTCGGATGAGTTGGAAGAGCTTCCGGGAATTACCAGATGCAGCTGCTGCTTCCAACTCATTAACACGCTCCGACCACCAGGCTCCTCGGTCCTTACGCAAGCTCTGCCCAATTTCCTTACGTAACATCCTTCGTTTGTGGTCAAACTCACGGTCACCCGGAGTAGACCGACGGGCTTCAATGAGTTGTAAGGAACCTGCAGAAACCCAGTGCTGAAAAGCGGGACGTTTCGCAAACCCACAGCTGACTGTTCCCGCCATTTTCATGGCGTCATGCAATCGCAACCAATGCTCATCTATACTTTTCGGTGGAGTGGTAGCTAGCCTAGAAGCCAGCTCGATTAGATACTTACTTGCAACAGGAGTTGCAACCAACTTGCTGACATTAATACTTTGGTGGTGGTCACTTCGTTGACTACTGAAAAGTAAGGTAAGATTGGCGCAGACCAAGGCATGATCAGAGTCCAGATAGGTACTCCAAAAGGAGCGGCAGTCTTGTACACAACCACGCCAGCGGTAGCTGATCGCGATGTGATCAATCTGAGTCCAGGCTTGAGATGCAGAGGGAGGACGCCAGGTGGCACATCGGCGATGACTGTGCCGAAAGTTAGTGCTAGCCAGAAACAGGTTGTGGTCTGTGCACAGCTGCAGTAGACGGTCCATGTTGTCTGACCTGCGACCAACGAGTCCCCATCGGCCACCTAAACAACTCCCTTCTGTGCCTAGACGCCCGACCTGAGCATTCAAGTCTCCGGCTAGTACTACAATATCTGTCGAACGCACTTTCTGGAGAAGAACAGATAACTGGTGGTAAAACTCACCCTTGATTGCATCCGGGCTGCAATCTGTCGGGGCATAGGCGGAGATAACGAAAATACATCGTTTCTCACGCCGATTTCTTCTCACTTTGATGGAACTTTCTAATCTAACAGCACATAACCGACTGTTAATGGGGATCCGATCGACTAGTGCTGCCTCAGCTCTAGCGCTTAGTGCGACACCAACGCCTGCGAGACCAGACGAAGATGCCACAGGGTCCCCGGATAAGCGCACGTAAAACAAGCTTTTTGAAGCGACAGATGGAGAGCGAATTTGTAGTACTTCGCTAGAGTCTTGAATACGGGTCTCGGATAGACAACAAACATCAATATTAAGACTTTCCAAAGACATAGCCAGCCCTATCCGTTGTCTGACCTGTATGAGTATGCGAACGTTGAAGGCAGCCAGTTTGAATGGTGCACGTAGTTTCAGAAAAACTGCTTCAGTACTCATATTCGGTGGTAACATACAATTTTCAACCGGATTGTGACACGAGAACGTTTAGATACAGTCGAATTTCCACCAAAGACGAGCCGCTGTATAAGTATAAAAGAGGGTGAATAATGTGGATAATAATAATAATAATAATAATAATAATAATAATAATAATAATAATAATAATAATAGTATTAATAATGACAATAACTGTAATGATAATAATCTGAACCAATTGATTGTTTTTCGAAGCGAGAAAAGTAATCTCCATAGACATAGAGAGTTCATCAATTGTGAGTGGGCTGTGATACTGCCCGGGTGCCCAAACCGAAGCAGGTGGTTATCTTAGGGGGCCACTCCCCGAGCTTTTGACCTAAAGGTCTAACCCACAAGGCAGTGGAGCATCGTAAGGAGATGCAATCCCATGGTAGCCGGTGACCAACGATTGGTTCATACGCCATTTGTTCCCGCAGGATACTGGAGCCCATGTGCACCATTGGTTTGTGATCCTGTTAAAGCGCCGGACATTCGCTTTTCGTTCTCTCATTTTCGTAAACAACATACCCCGCCACGAGAAGGCAATGATTAGGACTTCCCTGGCAGAGGCTGTATACGCGCGGCCGTGTGAGAGTATTTCGAGAGGGAGAGCGGACTCTCCCCACTCTCGGCCGTACCAGGGCTGCTGAAGAGCCCTATACCAAGACGAAACGGCCGTCCAGTGTTTCCAGGTTTTCAATGGTTGTCTAACATTGATTGGTCCATGATTTCAGGGAAACTCAACAATATCCACAGCCCAAAACTGAAAAAAACAGTTTTAGTGGAACGTGAAGTTAAATTAAATTTCCTTAAATATTCAGAGTTTCCTTGAATTATTTTATTAATAACACATCACTTTACGAAAACAGAAATCAGGTGCAAAGTGTTTCTGAAGCGAAATTACCTTTGACAAGTTTCTATTTCACGATCATAACGATAGTGTAATTCATTTAGGACATGAATCGGTGCACAATAGTCACTAAGTAACGTTGCGCATAAATCACTGTAAAATAAAGCAATTGTACCAACTTTCCACATTATTTGTAAGTAATGGTTTTCAATCCAACCACGGGTAATTACATTTGAACAAATTCTACGACAGCTCAAAAATGAACTAAAAATAAAGGAAAAATGAAGTATCTCAATTTACGAAACACCTTTATGGATTATGTTCAGACATATACACCAGGATGTGGATATCAACTGTATTAAAGTGAGCAATGTCACTACTCAGTCGAGCAAATCCAAAGTGTATAACATAAAAGCACTTACAACAATTAACATATAGCTGATAATCTAATGTCTACATACACTATTTAGAGGGAAGGATTTAAATTATGATTTTATTGTATCATCATTTGTGTAAAGAAGTCGGATGCACAAATTTAAGTAAGAGAATTTCTTCAGGGATCTCAACGACACTTTGACACAAAGATTTGATACAAAAGAAAGTAAAACTGGGACAAGAGATGCAATCTCACACTAGCCGTAATATGAAGTATATCTGAATACGATGGGTAACTCTCGTTGGGGTACTTAAGGTCGTGTAACTGAGTGGCTTAAAATGTTATCCAATTTGTCTCAAAATAGAAGCCGGTGATCTTGCTATAGGTTTCCCATCCATTCTTTATAGAAGTAAAATGAACATTCTTAACTAGACGAAATATCGCTTGGATTTTTTTCCTAATTGAACAATACCTTTTAAAGAATACTATCTCTGTTTATCTATTGGTTGATTGTATGAATTTCCTTTCATCTGTTTTCTTCTCACAACGTCAATATTCCACTTTGTGTGGGGTATTATTTTGTACCAGGAATTCTATTTGTTATAATTAAGTAAATAATTGAATCTTGAACATACATAAATTCAATATAATGAATAAATGAAAATAACCTCACTAGTATTTTTTCTGTATATATTTATAATTTAAGGTTTGGGGAGGATTGTTCGTAGTGTAAGTCAGGATACTTCAACAGCTAATTAATGCAACGTTTCATTATTTTTTTTAAGTCCATTAACATGAAATCGTACATAAAGATGTAATTTACTGGATAGAATATAAACTCAATAAAAGATCGAGTAATTCTCATTTAAAAATACTTTTATGTTAAAAAGAACATGTTACATAAACGCTCCACTGAAATATTACACTAGCCCTGAAATTGTTTACCAAAGAATGCAGCAAAATGAATTTCCGATCTTGTAAAACTAAAACATGAAAATAAACCAACATACTATTATACTTTTCCAATAAAAAATATATGAAACAATTTAACCCAGTAATCAAATACAGTTTTATGTGGTCTAGGTCAACACCTGAACTAAGGATAGGGAGTGAAGTAGTTGAACGCGTTGACAACTTCACTTATCTTGGAAGTCTGATTAGCCCTAATGGGTTGGTGTCTGACGAAATCTCAGCACGGATTCGAAAAGCTCGTTTGGCTTTTGCCAACTTACGTCATCTTTGGCGAAGGCGAGATATCCGTCTATCAATAAAAGAGCGAGTATACTGCGCGGCGGTTCGTTCTGTTTTACTTTACGGCAGCGAAACATGGCCCTTAAGAGTAGAAGACACCCGTAAGTTACTAGTATCTGACCACAGATGCCTTAGAAATATTGCTGGCATCTGCTGGGATCACCGGGTAAGTAATAGTGAGGTTAGACGCAGGGTATTAGGGAATGATGGTAAATCAGTTGAAGAGGTTATGAATCTTCATCGACTGAGATGGTTGGGCCACGTATTACGTATGCCTGAACACCGATTACGACGACATGCAATGCTAACCGGGGTAGGGGATGGTTCTTATGTGTTAAGGTGTGCATAACACATTACTAAACCATTAACAGTACTATCTAAATACATAGTCTTTTTGACATCGCTGGGACCATATTGATATTCGTCTTATTAATTGCATCTATCTGAACTGATGTGAAGTTGCAAATCAGACCATAGTATATTTACGCCAGATCTCACATTGATCATTATTAAGTAATTGATTGATGGGTTCAAACCAAAGACATATCGGATAAAAAACTGAAGTGTCTAAAGGCAACTTGACATATGAATGATGTGACAAAATAAAGGGCATCTGAATACAAAAAAGCGGGGTAGAATCACATGATTCGACTGAGGCCTTTATAGCATATTGAACATGCAAATGAAATTTAAAAAAAACAAATTTTAGTCATACATGACGTACTAACTTTAATTATACAAACATCTTGAATCAGGAAGCACTAGATAAGCTGTTTTAACTTAGTATCAGATTACTTGGTAATATGCATTCACGACTATGCCAGGGATTGGACTCATAACATTCAGATATCGAGATGACTGTCTAACCATTAGACTGTTGAGCTGACACCCAGTTGTTTGCACTTCTAAATTCAGCCGATTTACGATACTGCAAAACCATCATAGATTATCATTCATGATATTTGTCTCATATCCCATAGGAGTGAGCTCCACTGGTCACTTTTTCTCATTAGAACTCTGTGCTGGGACAAAACAGATGTTTAATATTTCCTGGTTTCATATGCTTGTCTAACAACAGTCAGTTCGCAATTTTAAATTGCAGATTCAATGATCTCACCAACCCCCTAAACTAAAAAACCCAGTTTGTTGATAAATACCATCATTTTGAATTATAATGATTTATTTCTTATAACACACAAGAAATAACTGGTGTGGCTATGTAGTTTAAATTGACTGGAACTGTTTAAACAACCTTTAGTATTAATACTAAATTCACATGATAATCCTGATCAGTAAAATAAAACCGAAAATTGATTATGGATCTGCGAACAGTAACGCAGAAACGATCCTAGATCTATTTAGCTATGAGCTAATACAGAAGATATATGTACAACCGATAAGTCAGTCAGTCAGTCAGTAACAACGTAGAACTTCGTACGTACGTACATCAGTTCGAGTTGCCACACCACATTAGCACAGAGATGCACTTGTCGATTCAAATCCCGTAGTGGTAGAGGTAATAAGAGTATAAGCAGTAATAGGGAAGATTAGGGTTTGGAGATGTTATTCAAGGAGTATAATCCAGTGAAATAAATTTGGAAAGAGGAAAAAAGGGACATGAAGAATTCAGAAGATTAGAATTTAGGAGAACACAGAGAGTTGATGCACCTGCGCCATTGCAAACGATTTTGAGCCATGTCATTCAGGTTCTCTAACCATCGGTTGCTATCATCTCGCAGTCCCCAACCAGGTAGTCTACACCTACCAACATGACACAACCGATAAGCTTTAAGTTATCATCCTTCAAATAAAATCATCATTAAAAAACAGGTAGTTCGGAGTGAAATTTAAAAAATGCAATCTTTACTTATGTGGTTTCAACTTAATGAAATCGAGTTATAACCACAATTTATCAATAAACTAAACCTACTTCTATCAAACATTGACACATGAGTTAGTTACACATATTTTGTATTTTAAGACTTTTTCAGTGGATATTGAAAATACGTTTGAGTGCGAGTATGACACTTACTTGATAATTTCTTGTTTGCCAACACATCCGAACTTATCAGGAATCAAAATAAAATCATGGAATTTGTAAGAAATAGGAAGACTGCTTTCACATTTTGTATCTATAATATGCTTCATATCCAGTAACCAGTAAAGTTTATCTGCAGTTTGTAAAGACCATTTATTATGAGTATCATTTGAAAACTTTAAATATTTCGGTAAGTAAAGTGGTGCAGAAGAAACAGATAACTTTTGATGATTGGCATAGTCAGCAAGTAATACTTTCCACTTTAAAAGTGATTGGTCATTTGTCGAATTTAATATCTCAGTTCCATAATATCTTCTACGTATATTCCACAATAGTCCATATAATGTAGTATTCAATGAAGTATCAGATGTAGAGAGCACATGTTGACTGGGTGATGGAATTGATTGATTATGTGCAATTAGATTTTGTTGGTCAACCCGTGCTTTTTCACGTTCCACATCTAATCTAATTGGAATGAAATAAATATTCACTTAGTAAAAATATGAATATGACTGTCAAAAATATTAAAATGGGGAACCCCATACACACAAAAAAATTAAAAATTTTGTTCGGCGATATCTAATTATATAGTAGTATTTAAGTGCGAATTCATCATTAACATACTAGATGAATTAAATAAAAAAAGGTAATTTATACGTGTTAGAGATGAAGTAAAAATGACCAAAACAAATTTAAAACACTGAACAAATAACATAAAAGTTTCTGATAGAAATATAATCTCAGTCAAATGTATCTTTCAAGTTAAATAATCAAATTCTTGCATTAAATGATTTAAAACCAACACTTGATGGGAATATCAAGCAACTTTGTCAAAACACATATCTTTGAAGACTGGTCGATTGCAGGTCTTTAATAGCAAAAACATGAAAACCCAAACCATTATATATATACGACTATTCGAGGGTATTATTAACATGTTAAATGTTAGTGAAACAGTTTTTATTTAAACAGCTCTAACTTAAATAATCACAATACATTTAGACTACTGAGTCGGAACTTAGTAACAAACGATACTAACTTCAGTCAGTTCACGATGAAAATGCATTCATCATCTAATGTTATCAGTGAGTTATTAACCCTATATAAACTTGGTTAACCAAACAGGTCATATTTTCTCCAGTTGGTTTCCGTTCGTGATGAAAACTACGCCTAAAATATGCGTGAACTTTATAGTCTACGCAGCAGAGATAATCTGGAAGACATTGGGCTGTTATCATTCATACAGAAACAACGTTCGTTGTGCTAAAATTTGAGAAAAAAGTTTGAAATCAATTAAAGACAGAAAAGTTATTCTCTAAAAAATATCTTCAGAATTAATATTAAACCAATTCTTGAAGTGAACTGTTTTAAATTATTCTTTGACGTGAACTTCTGGAGAATTCGATAATTATAAGTGATATGATCACTACGATAACACTAAGAAAAACCAGTCAAAAGACACGAAAGTATTATTTATTCTTCCCATGATGAGATACACCTCGAAATATTATCTTAAAAAGAAACTAAACGTTTACACACAATGAATTTAAGTTAACTAAGAGAAAACGTAAAATATTTAATGTAGAGAAATAAAAACGACCAAACGAAATGACAAACTCGAATAAAGTTTAGACAAAATAAGATATGAAAGTCAAAGTTGTATATAATCCATTAAAATTTAGCATTGATTTCTATAACATAACAACTATATTACAAAAATTAAACAAAGAGTTCAACCAAATAGGTGACACTGACTTACGATATATTAATTTCCATCATGTGAATACCACCGTCAGAACGTTCAAATGATAAGTCAAATTGGGTATCAAAACATCCACTAAATGAGTCAATATAATTATGAGATGAGTCCCCAAAATCATCATGCACCTCAGCAATTTGTTCCTCAGACAGTAATAAATTATCTTTGACATTATGGGCATTATAATCATAAGACTCGTAGCACTTTTCTAGCTTTACGAAAACATCACCAGAAATGGAAGGGTCTGTAAGTGTACGAGCAAACTTCCGAGATGATGAATTTGTCAAAGTCACAGAATCCCCTTTACCTGTCTTGAAGCCAGTGAAATGTGAGTCGTGGTTCTCATGACTCTTCTCCACATCCACATCATCATCACAAACGTTTAACGAGTCCACAAGTGTTCGAGCAAACTTCCGAGATGATGAATTCGTCAAAGTCACAGAATCCCCTTTACCTGTCTTGAAGCCAGTGAAATGTGAGTCGTGGTTCTCATGACTCTTCTCCACAACCACATCATCATCACAAACGTTTAACGAGTCCACAAGTGTTCGAGCAAACTTCCGAGATGATGAATTTGTCAAAGTCACAGAATCCCCTTTACCTGTCTTGAAGCCAGTGAAATGTGAGTCGTGGTTCTCATGACTCTTCTCCACATCCACATCATCATCACAAACGTTTAACGAGTCCACAAGTGTTCGAGCAAACTTCCGAGATGATGAATTCGTCAAAGTCACAGAATCCCCTTTACCTGTCTTGAAGCCAGTGAAATGTGAGTCGTGGTTCTCATGACTCTTCTCCACATCCACATCATCATCACAAACGTTTAACGAGTCCACAAGTGTTCGAGCAAACTTCCGAGATGATGAATTCGTCAAAGTCACAGAATCCCCTTTACCTGTCTTGAAGCCAGTGAAATGTGAGTCGTGGTTCTCATGACTCTTCTCCACATCCACATCATCATCACAAACGTTTAACGAGTCCACAAGTGTTCGAGCAAACTTCCGGGATGATGAATTCGTCAAAGTCACAGAATCCCCTTTACCTGTCTTGAAGCCAGTGAAATGTGAGTCGTGGTTCTCATGACTCTTCTCCACAACCACATCATCATCACAAACGTTTAACGAGTCCACAAGTGTTCGAGCAAACTTCCGGGATGATGAATTTGTCAAAGTCACAGAATCCCCTTTACCTGTCTTGAAGCCAGTGAAATGTGAGTCGTGGTTCTCATGACTCTTCTCCACATCCACATCATCATCACAAACGTTTAACGAGTCCACAAGTGTTCGAGCAAACTTCCGGGATGATGAATTTGTCAAAGTCACAGAATCCCCTTTACCTGTCTTGAAGCCAGTGAAATGTGAGTCGTGGTTCTCATGACTCTTCTCCACAACCACATCATCATCACAAACGTTTAACGAGTCCACAAGTGTTCGAGCAAACTTCCGAGATGATGAATTCGTCAAAGTCACAGAATCCCCTTTACCTGTCTTGAAGCCAGTGAAATGTGAGTCGTGGTTCTCATGACTCTTCTCCACATCCACATCATCATCACAAACGTTTAACGAGTCCACAAGTGTTCGAGCAAACTTCCGAGATGATGAATTCGTCAAAGTCACAGAATCCCCTTTACCTGTCTTGAAGCCAGTGAAATGTGAGTCGTGGTTCTCATGACTCTTCTCCACAACCACATCATCATCACAAACGTTTAACGAGTCCACAAGTGTTCGAGCAAACTTCCGGGATGATGAATTCGTCAAAGTCACAGAATCCCCTTTACCTGTCTTGAAGCCAGTGAAATGTGAGTCGTGGTTCTCATGACTCTTCTCCACATCCACATCATCATCACAAACGTTTAACGAGTCCACAAGTGTTCGAGCAAACTTCCGAGATGATGAATTTGTCAAAGTCACAGAATCCCCTTTACCTGTCTTGAAGAAAGAAATAGACGAAAGTTGGTTCATAAAACTCTTTACCACAACCACAACAAAAACTCAAATCATTAACAAATAGATCATTCACGATGCTGAACTACAGTACCATTGGTTTGGAATCAGGGTTTTCTAACTCCCCTAGGTAGACTCTCCATTTTCCACCAACCCGGTTACAAAGCGCAGTACATTCGCTTTTCGTACTCTCAATTTCGTAAACAACACTCCCGTCATGAGTAGTACTTCCCTGGTAGTGGCTGTATACACGTGGCCATGTGAGAGCACTTCGAAAGGCAGAGCTGACTCTCCTCACCCTTGGCCGTACCAGGGCATTTGGGGGTGCTTTGTTACATTTGTTAGGTGATCCTAGATGAATGGTGAATTGTGGATCATTTATATGGGTTTCAGATGTATAGCACACATCAATATAAGATCTTGAGATTTTTGCTAGAAGAAACTGTTGTCCTATAAAAAAAGATGGATAGTAATGGAGTCCAGGACGCGCGTCTCGTCATATCTGGGACTCGCCAGCTGGATGTACCTGTATCCCAGTCAGTCAGTCGGCTACAACGTAGAACCAAGCACATATATACATCCGTCCGAGTTGCCACACCTCATTAGCACAAGATGAACACCAAATTCATAGAAGCAGTTACTTCAATGGTAGTAATATGTAATAGTAAAATTGTATATAACTATATGATACAGGAAGAAAGAATTAGTTCGTAGAAATAAAGGTATAAAGCAATTTTAATCTCACGGTTTAGGGAAAGACAAACAGTGTATACACCTACGCCATTGTGATTGATTCTGAGCCATGTCACCCATAGTCTACAACCATCGGTTACAATAGCCGCGCGGACCTCAACCTAGTGGTCTGCATCTACCAACATGGGTCAGACTAGAAGTTAGTAACTTCAAGGACTGATGACACGTTTTGGTTTGGCCGTCCCTAGCTTCCTTCCAACCATCCCCAACGCTAGTCAGCATTGTGTGTCGTCGTAATCGGTGTTCAGGCATACGTAACACGTGGCCAACCATCCAGGTCTGTGAAGATTTACAACCTCATCAACTGATTTACCATTATTTCGGAATACCCCACGTCTAACCTCACTATTAATTACCCGGTGATCCCAGTAGATGCGAGCAATATTTCTAAGACAGCTGTGATCAAATACTAGCAACATATGAGCATTTTCTACTCACAATGGCCACGTTTAGCAACCGTAAAGTAAAATAGAACGAACTGCTGCACAGTATACCTGTACTCCAGAGTTGATGTTCACTGCATTACTCGGGCTCAGTACCGTTCGTATCAAACGCCATCGCGTTATCCATTTAGCTATGGAGTCCAGATAGTCACTAGCTTGTGCAATGAAGTGAAGTTTTATTTATGTATCGCTTGTTTGAATCTTACCATTGATGTTTAGGACTGCAATTTATCAGTCTTTGCTTATAATGCTTGTGAATTAATGCAATATCGAAGCAATTCACACACGATGCATACCAATATGAGACTGAATAATTACAGTCCTGGACATCAATGGTTAAGATTAAAACAAACAATGAGAAAACGAATTAAAATTTCTGTCCGCTGTGGTGTTGAAAATTGTAACAGGGATTCCAAAATCTGAAGACTAGGATTAACATTTCGTAAGATCGGAGAATTAACACCGATTATATTTAAAAGATATGGGATTAAAGCAGGATCGATAGTAAAAATATTGTGTGCAGTTAGATTGTGGATGGTTGACATTCACATATATGGTACATTGTGGAAGGTAGCTTCTTCTGGAGGAACATTGAAAGGAAACTAATAATGATGACTACCTTGCTGACGTACGAGTGTTACTAGAAAAACCAAAAGACAATAGTTTGAAACCGGTAATACATAATTTTGTTTCGTTAGCTCTGAACTTTTCGGATCTTACCGCTGATACTGGGGATTCTTAGGGCATGGCAAAGTGAGCTGTTTCTGGGGACGAATCTTTATAAATCCTTTTCTGTGGAGAGGTAACATTACTTGAAATTCCAGTTATCTGTTGAAAACACCATTCTGCTGACACATCCGAGTACAGTCTACAGTAGAACCTCTCTCTAGGTGCTAAAATGATTGCTTTTAGTTTTTCTGACACTTAATCGACTTGCCTGACATGGCACAACTCAAAAGAATATGCTTGAGACAACATAACTCGATTGCGTAACTGCGATAGGCATTTCCGACTTCCTTATTAAGATAAAAGTTTTGGCTTAGGATATGTGAACAGTACCAGAGAACGTACGAACTGTGATAACAAGTACGAAAGCATACCAACCTTAGTCTTAAAATATCACCGTGGAACCATACTTCCATTCATTTCTTTATTTTCGGCTCTACTGTCTATTGATCTCGAATTGTCGCTACATGAAGCAGACTACCATTGCGGAAGATAAGTAGATTCAAGTCTTCTACATATATAGAGTGGGTTTGATTCTAATACAATAAACCAATATAGAACATTACTAAGCAGTTTCGCAACTGTCTATGATGTAATGAACCGTTGTATTTAGTTATGACACAGAAAACTAAAGGTATACCTAGTCAGAAACCTAGACGTATTCCTGTAAATAAAAGAACTGTGCCAAAATGATTAGAAGGGTTGATGTTAGTAGTCTATCATCATACATGGGCCCCCAAATGCCCTGGTACGGCCAAGGGTGAGGAGAGTCAGCTCTGCCTTTCGAAGTGCTCTCACATGGCCACGTGCATACAGCCACTACCAGGGAAGTACTATTCACTGCCTTCTCATGGCGGGAGTGTTATTTGCGAAATTGAGAGTACGAAAAGCGAATGTCCTGCGCTTTGTAACCGGGTTGGTGGATAATGGAGAGCCCATCTAAAGAGGTTAGAAAACCCTGATTTCGAACCGAAAAAACGAAGAGGAACATTACTCACCAACCTTTAACTACGTTTTATTAAGGACATCCTGAATTATTTCAAAAAATAAATGTCGGTACAGAAATGCACCACATTACATGAGTTACACAAAGTAGTTAACATTCAGCTTGCATGTGGCCTGGAATGCTGCCTAGGTGCTGAAACCGAAACGAGTGGTCTCCTGAAGTGGTCACACTATCGAGCACTTGACCCAGAGATCTAATCCACAGGGCAGTGGAGCAACGTCAGGAAATGCAGTCCCATAGTAGCCGGTGACCAACAATAAGTTCATGCGCCATTTATCCTGGAGCCCGTGTACATTATTGGTTTGAAATCAGGATTTCTCACTTCCCAGCTTGAATAACTAGAGAAAAGTCCTTCAATTAATGTTTGCAGGCTTCCTATGACTAAAACTATTGTCATTTTGGACCATGACCGCACGAGTGCGATTTTCTAAATGAAAAAGATACTGGGGGGACAATGCATGTTGTGTTGTTTAACGTTGCGGACTGAATTTAGTTAGATGATTGAAAACCCGATTTCTGTGTGTAACCGCAAACCCAAACGATTTCTACAGCACCCTAATCTGATTAAACGCATGTTTTAGCTTTACATACTACGTTATGGCTGTTAAGCGTACGCTTAAATTATACGTAGATTTTTAAAATAACCATTTAACTTTTTTTATTTGAAGTGACCGAAAGCAGGAATCTGTAAGTTTTGACACTATATACCAAAGTCGAGTTATCCTTTGTATAGAAAACCCACCAATCTAGAAGTTATCACCAGTCAAAACTTGAGAGTTCATACTCATTGAAGGAATGTAATGCCGAATTTGGCATGACATAGCATTTAAATGCTATTTATATATGAATGAATTTCATGCCAAAATCCAGGACTTTCCATCCCTAATTTCACTGGTTTGTCCGTATATTATAGTCTTCGCTGATAATCTGATAATCGAAACTAGTTGATAGGGTCTCCCACAACACAATTTGGGCGCGAAGCATACAACAGAGAGTTCTCGCGACCTTCATACTGACCTCGAGCCCAATAACACTAAACTCGAGAAGTGGGCGCTGCATTAAAAAAGATGGTATAACAACCAACCCACATTTTTCCTTGCAACAGACATCTCTTAAGAGATCCCTTTTACTCTTTCAACAATGAGGTACTACTATTAGTTTGGCTAATCCATTCATTTGTTTTCAAAACCTTTACAACATTTTGGACATGATTTCAATGAATTCTTGTGGTGAATCCAGAAATTATATGTAGTGGCGAGTAAATTCGCAAAGAAGATTTCTCTAAGTCTTCTACATTGAAGACGACCTTGTGAAATATCACGAAGCCATAACCAGATCATCCGACAGTCTGATCATAAAATATCGAACGGTTCACCGATCATCACCAAGGACATGGACAGCCGACGAGCATTAGGTTATTGTACACCATGAACTAGCACAGTGGGGTGTTTGTATTAACTAATGATCCTTTTGTACATCATGACTGCCTGATTTCGAATCCTGGATACAATGCGTCCGTTCGTCCTCATATAGTTCTCGGTTAAATTGTGCCTTTTCTGAGATTCCTAGTCTGTAATATAATTCAAATACTTCCAATTATCGTATTGGCGCCACGATGGAACCTGTGATGGAGCATGAACAAGAAAGATGTCAAAGGTGACAAAATTGTGGCATATTTCCTCACATTCATCAAAAAAGACGCATACAGCTTATTAAAAACTCTGGCATATCCAGAAAAGTTTATCTCAGTTTCTTATGCAACTCTTACGGGACTACTATTAAATCATGTAATGTGCACCAGCTTCGAATGCCATGAGAGAGTAAACTTTCATATGATGATTCTCCAGAATAACCAAAAGGTTGAGAAATTCATCCTTGAATTGCAGAAAAAAGCTCCCAAATGTAATTTCGGTGGTCAACTTCATGTGCAGCTGAGCGATCGATTAATCGTAGTAATTAACATAGCATATCTCGAAAGAGAGCTGTTATGAATGCCGAACTGTTCCTTTTAAGATGCTAGAACTACATGTATTAACTTGATATCCAGTCGATGAAAATCTCTAATACTTTGCTCATCCGTCATGATGAAA